CACAAACACGCTGTGCCATTACACAGGCCCCAGAAACAAGGCAAGGAAAACTGACTTTTCCCATTAAGAAGAAATGGGATGATGAGACATGTGGGGTCTGAGACTCTTGTGGTCCCCACAGAAGAATGGGTGCACCCCAGAAGGATGAAGTTCCTCGGTCATATGAGCAGCCTAATTGGTTCAAAATGCATACAAGTGCCTTTTGGGAAGAAGGTCCAGTTACACAGTTACTTTCCTGGAGTTGTATGTGCAATTCAGAACGGTGAAAAATAAAATGAAATCTTGATCATCTTCAGTAACTGATTTTTTTCCCACCTTGAAAAATTACAGCTGAAGTACCCATCCGGTCATGACAGGGTGGTCTTATGGTTTAGAGGTTTGCATGATCTGTCAGGAAATAATATCTTGAAGACCAGCATAGCTAATGGTTGGAGTAGGAAAAAAAATACCTTAAAACTGTCAAAATTATTCAGTCGTTAGGCAGAGGAGAGGCATAGGCTGTGATGTGCTACGTAGGGCCTTTGGCTGGGGTGCATGAGCTCTGCTTGAACACCTGCTGTGCAGAGCTGGAGAACTACTGAAAGTGCAAAAGAAGCAATATAAGAGAGAGATCTCCAGCAGTTTGAAATTTCACCAGTCTCAAGGCAATGTCTACCCTGCTGATCTGGCCTCAGGAGCATCCCCAGCTGATTTCTCTTTGGAAACTGAGACATGTCGCTCAATAAATACTAGATCGTTTCAACACTAAACATGTCAGGGCTCAAAGAGTGAGACCAGCTCACCTGTTCTGCTAGGCAGCAGATTTAGCTCCTCCAGCACGGAAAGGACCCTTGTCTTCTGGAGCCTTGGTAAACAGCCAGGGTTTGCTGGTGCCTCCCTCAACCTGCAAGGTCTGTCCGGAGGACACTAAACACAAGTGAGAAGGCCTGTGGTCAGATTGCTGTACCAGCACAGCAGCTTCTTGCCCCCAGCCCCTCGGCCCCACCAGCGACATCCAGGCAGTACTTGTGGTCACTTCCTCTACAGAAAAGCTCCATTTCAGCTGTTCTTGTGCTCTGGCCCTCTCTGCCCAAAACCATCAGAGCTTTTGGCTTTCCCTTGCTCGTCACTCCTGGGCTGTCCACAGTGAGGATGGTGGGGCAAACAGAGAGCCAGTGAGGACAAGGAGCCCGGTGCTCAGCTGGTGGGGGCAGGTTGGGATAAACTGTCTAACCAGAGATAGAGACAGAGATATTGCAGGGCTGAAGCCATATTTCTCATTTCTCCTGTAGCCACGAGATGGAGCAACTCAATTACAAACAGTTCTGCAGAGCCACCAGATTTAAGTGATGGGACTTTTCATCCCAGTTCTGGCTCACCTAGAGGCTGCAGGCAGTCTTGGATCACAGCAGTGGAGGCTCTCTCTTTTCAAGCAGAGCAAATATTTTTCTCACTGTTCAGACTCTGATTTAGATCAAGAAAAAAACCCACCATGTCTTCACTGCACAACCCTGTGTGGTGTGGTGGTTACTGATTTACCTACGAAACTGAAGGATGACAGCAGCACCAGCCCCATGCTGACACTGTTCCTGAGAGCCAGGACTGACAGCAGGGGAACAGGACATAGCACTGCTCTCTGGTGCAGTCCAGGGTCAGGGCACAGCAGTGGACCAGCAGTGCCCAGGGATGGCTGGCACAGCTCAGCACTGCAAGGACTAGATCTGCCTCAAGGGCAAGCACAGGGAATCAGCAGAGCTTCACTGGTTGCCACTCAGGGATGTGTGTGTGGCCTGAAGGGGAGGTCTCTGTGGCAGCAGCAATATGGCAAAGTCCTCCATACTAGCAAAAAAAAATGCATGTGAACCCTCTTCTTCATCAGGAAAAAGGCACAAAATGATGCATTCAGCATCTGCAATCTCACAAAGTAGAAGGTGCTTCACACACTGGTGACATTGGTGACAAGCACAGAGGCACCAAGGACAGAGGAGGATTTGTAGAGTTGGTTCTCTTCTCCTTAGTCTCCAAGAAAAAGGACCCACTCTTGGTTTTGGGGACTTTGTGAAGAGACACATTCCATTAGCACAGAGTAGGGCCTCTGTCGAGAAAAGAAAGGTACCTTGGCTGTCCACTGCTTTCTCACCACTGCATCCCAAGAAAGGTATTAATGAACAGACTGAGAACCCTTCATGGGCTATCCCAGCCTCTCCATTATGCGGCTCACTCAGGTTTATTTTACCCTCTCCATCAGCCCTCAGCATCACACTTTTTTCATCCATTCCATTTTGAAGGTAAAGAAGCCCTCACACCTTGTCCCAAGTGCTTTTGGACCCACTGCATGCCTTCCTGGCCCTTTCTCCTCATCCTCTTCCCTAAAAAACTCACAAGCATACTGCTAGGGGGAAAAAAGCAGACCAATTGCTGGTGGTGGCTAGGCTAACCCTGGCATTGCTGCTTCCTCATCCTCTCTTTTTCAAAGCATCTTTCTCCAGATGTGCAGCCACCCAGGGTTCTGTGCAGCAAGCACACCCAGGGCAGCCCCTGGTGAGGGGGCAGTGCTTAGGTGGCATCAGAATATGAGTTTAAAACAGAAAAGAAAGCTCCAAGTGTGTGAGAGGAAAACCTTGAACAGGGAAGAGAGAGCATCCACTCTGAGTCTTGGTGGCACTATCAGAACTGGCATTTGCAAACCCCAGACCAGGGCAGGAACACAGAGTGCTCTGGCAGTTGGGTTTATGTCCATGTTGACAGTAACCTTAGTTCCCACCACCCAGGGTGACTCAGCCCCCAAAATGCCTCTTCATGGTAGTGGTACCTGCCTGTGCTCTGTGGGGTTTTTTGTTAATATCTGGAAAGCAGCCATGGTCACAAACCCACCACTAGATACACAGAAGTGAAACCTAGCTGAGGAATGAGATAAGGTATTATTCACTCAAACCTTCTATCTTGTTTTTTCCCTTTGGTGGTGTTTCTTTTTATTCCTTAGGTAGGATAATTGCAACTAAAATATTATAGGGGAACCCCCAGCACTATTTCTTCTCGTGTCTCCTATCCCCCATCTCTTTCACAGATGCACAGTTTTAATTTAGCCACTATAATCCTCAGTTTTCAAGTATTTAAGGAGCATGCAGAGGATCAAGCAAAACTACACCTCTGGCCTTTCTTTCCCCTTTTGGTAAGAACATTGCAAATACACATACAATGGGGAAAAAAATATCTTTTTTCCCCTTCCTCCCTGAACAAAATCAGCACCTGACACTCTCCATGGGTACATTCCCTGTTCCCTATGAGTACAAACAGATTTAAGAGTAACTCTTGACTCTTTTAAAATACCAGTTTGAATTGAACCTACCACTGAAAATCAACAATTTCTTTTTCCTTTTTGATATAATGAAAAGGGGGGGGAAACAATGACAGTGACAGCTCAGGATTTAGCTTAAAGCACATTTTGACAGCAAGCACTACCCATGGATGTTTCAGACAATCAATAAAATCATGTCTTGCTGGAAAAAAAACAACAACAGAGAAAGGTCCGTAGGACCAGCATTTCCTTCTCTGTTACTGGAGACTCATTTTAATGGGTGACTCAGAGGTCAGACCCACAAAGCCATGTATTTGCATCCTTAAATGAGCTGTGTGACATTCTATGTACATAGTACGTGCACGCAGGCACAGTGTGGGGAGGCCAATGTGGTAATGGAAATTTGCGACAAAACAAAAAGCAGCAGCACCTCGTTCTTTCTGACATCCTGACCAGCAGCTGCTTTATATGCAGTTCACTCCACTGTCTTGAAAAAAAACACAAGACTCCAGAATTCTACAAGCTGAGAAGGAGAAAAGTTCACCATCCAAAGCTAGAGACAGTCCAAAGGTAAGATGACAAGAGAGAATATTTCACTGTTGCAAAACCTTACCTTAAAAGCTTTCCTTTTGCTACAAGATCTGAAAACTAAGTATATTTTACATAACTTGTTTTGCTTATACCATAGCTACTCTTTTTTAAAGACTGGACAAAGCTGCCTTTTGCATTTGTGCTTTAAATAATGGTTTTTTTCTGTTTGTTTGTTTTGGATTTTTTTTTTAAATCTACACAAGAGACTCTAGTCTGAAATGCTTTTAATCATAACTAGAATTTTCTTAGCTAAACATCTTGGTGAGAAGCTGAAATTCTATTTCTCTAGACCCAGAATTTCCTGGACACACTATCAAACAAACAAATTAAGAACAAGTCTGAAGAAAAAGGAAAGTACTAATGAAATCTCCTACGGAGGCACTGAAGTAAAGAACTTTGTCAGCATTTATTACTTTTTAATAATTCCTTAATTAACTTCTTCTCCCTTTGGCTCTCTGTAATAGGTTTCTGCCCTGCACTAGACTCACTTCATGAAGGTGACTCAGCAGGAGAGCAGCACATTGTCTGTCCAAGTTTTATATTGGGCAGTATCACTGTCACCCCTTGTGTGTCATGGGCTACCTGACTTCCGAGGTTCAGGGACCGAACTCAGCTCCCAAAACCTTTACAGCTCTGCGGGTTTACCTCCCAGATGCTGAACAACCTGCAGCATAGCAAGGAGTGCTTCTTCTCTACAGCCATTCAGAGCCCCAAGTGCTTCACAAGCTCAGATTTCCTTGTCCTTTGCTATTTGAGCAAGGAAATGTCATTATTTGCCTCCAGCCTCCCCTCAGTCCCTTGCAGCAGAGCAGCCCTGCTGACAAGGCTGCTGCCCCACTGAGCCACAACTCCCCACACCTCACAGGCAGTGGTGCTCTGCAAGGAGGCTGGTTGTACTTCACAGTGAATGAAACCTGTACCTGCTACAGCACAACAGGAGCTGCAGATGGATCCCTGCACCTGACCCTGCACCCCCAGCTCTGCCTGCTCCCATTCTCCTCCTCAGGCTGGGTTTCTGGAGCTGGTTTTTTTACTTCTGTCATGTGAGACAGTAATTCACAGAATCATTTACCCGGCATGAGTGTCTCCTTAAGGAACAAAGAAATAAATTTCCTTTTTTGCTGATACTAATCTCTCTCAAACCACAGCAAGGGACTGCTTACCTCTGAAATAGTCAGATGACTTGATCTGCAGAACAGAAACTTTGACTGCGCAGTTGAAAACTGGTTGACAAGTCCGAAATGGAACTGCCTCAAAATTAGTAACTCATGTTTTGAAGTAATAACAATTAGAGAACAGCAGTCACAAGTAATTTCTGGCACGGACAGAAAGATCTCTGACAGGCTTTATTCACAGGTTACATTTGATGTCATGGAACCGGCTGGAGAAAAGGATGAGATATTCCTGGGCATTTGTGATTCCAGCTGAGACAAGCATGGCAGAAACAAATGAGCGCCTTCCCAGTCCTTATCAGGAGAGTCTGAGTGCAGGATCAAGCCAGCACCCTTCCTCTGAGGAAGATAATTGCTCCGTGACTCCAGCTCAGAGAGTAAGTACCTCCACACTTTAAGTCCCCACTTTGCAGAGGAGAATCCAGATGCATGTTTCCTGCATCCCTGTCTCTGCTGTGATAGCTCTGGCTGATTTAGACAAAAGCTTGGGTTCTTAAATCTCATCCTTCTACTAATGATTTAACTTCTGCTGGAAACAGCCTATTTGAAGCTTCCTGCCTGCTGCTTTTAGACAGTTCATAGAAGGGCCAAAGGTAATCACAGTCCCTCTTTGCCCAGGGGTGTTGGGAGAGGGTGTGGGATGGCAATGGCTGTGTGGGATCTTCACATTAACAAACACAGGAGACCCTCGTGGTCTTGGCTTCCCAAGGTCTCTTATGATAGCTTGATGCAGGAAATCAGATCCAAATAATTGTCTCCACCCTCACAATCCAAAAAACACCAAAATCGGGGGCTGCTACCTGGGTTCTGCAAAGAGATTGTATCACTCCAAGGGGATGGTGCTGTCATATCTATACTCTGCCTAGACTAAATCATAGCACAGTTAGGGATAACGGGTGACAGTGCAAGTGAGGCTTGGACCCCAGAAATCCTTGCTCCTCCTTCAGGCACAGGTTTGCCCCAAGACCCCTTGACACTGAGCAGCTCCATGTTACCGGGAGCTGCAATTCAGTACAGAGCACCCTGAGAGGGGAAAAAAAGCATCTCCAAGTCCGTGGACACATAGAGACCTCACTGGCCTTTGTACCGTGTCTTCATCCTTCCTTGCAGTGAAGGTGATTTTCTTCTCTTCCAGCACACCTGGAGTTATGAATGACACCCATGACAAGAGCAATATCAGCGCTACCGTGGAATGGTTCCAGTTCATCATGTACATCCCCACGTTTAGCGTGGGATTGCTGTTCAATGTGATGGCTCTGTTGTTACTCTTTTTTAAGGTTAAAAAGCTGTCAGAATCTACAGTCTACATGATAGCCCTTATATTCCTGGATACTTTGCTGTTGTTTACTCTTCCTTTTAAAATCATTTCCTACCGCCGTCAGGACAAGTGGCACTTGGGGTCTGTGTTTTGCTCCACCTTGGAGAGTCTTTACTTTGTAAACATGTATGGCAGCATTCTCATCTCCCTCTGCATCTGCGTGGACCGGTACATCGCTATCAAGCACCCCTTCGCTGCCCCCTCCCTGAGATCCATCAGGAAAGCTGCCATGGTCTGTGCTGTTATCTGCCTGGGCACCTCGGTGGGGACAGTCTCTACATCCCAATTGCATGAAAAGGGCCAAAACATCTCATCCTGCTTCCATAACTTCTCCCCGAGGACATGGGCGGACATAGGCCTGTTCAGCACCTTGGAGACCATCTTCTTTGGCAGCATGGCAGCCATGACGTTCTGCACTGCCCAAACTGTCAGGTGCCTGAGAAGGCACAGAGATCCAGAGAACCCCCAGACACACATCACTAGAGCAGAGAGGATTGTGGTGACAAACCTTGTGGCGTTTTTGGTCTGCTTCACCCCTTACCACGTGGCATACTTCACGTACTTCCTGGTGAAGAGAAACATCATCCACATCAGTCTTCAAAAAGTGCTGCGAGATGTCGTTCAGATCACCCTTTGCTGGGCAAACCTGAACTGCTGCCTTGATGGCGTGTGTTATTATTTTGTTTTAAAGGAGTCCTTGGAAGAACCATCACAAAACACGGAAAGAAGAGTCATACCAAAGCCTTGATTTACATACTGCATGTTAGTTACTTGGGATGATGTGTGGTGAGGTTTTCACGGAAAGTGCAGGGTCCTGAACTTCTTACCTAAGCAATTTGCTTGAAATATTCAGTTCTGAAAATATTTCATTAAAAAAATAGAACTAAGCCCATTTCCAGGAGACTGCTCCCAACTTTTTTTATTTCCTTCCATAATGTTTTCTGTTACTATTTATGGGTAAAAAGAAATATTTCTTTTTATTTCTTCCAAGCCTCTCCCATTTCTCCAATGATTCTGGCCATTGATTTTTCTGGAAACAAGCAGGTTGAGGTGTGTAAAAAGCTCGTACCTGACCACCACAGACAACCACTGTTGGAGCTCCCTGCCTCTGCCTACACATGGCCCCCAGTGCCTCTGCCAGCTCTAAGAGAGCACTGATTATCGGGGCACAGAGATGACTTTCATTCTAGATTCCTGGGATAAATTATAATTCTGCAAAGGCAATATTTTCTACTCAGAAGTTCCCTGCTGGATCTTATTGCTTCTGGGCCTCTGAGCATTCACTGTTCAGGTCAAATCTGGTGTGATCTGATCCCTTCTTTGCTCAGGTGGGTAATTGCAACAGCTTTATACCCAAATCTTGACATGGGTAAATAGAGAGACCGCAGAGACTCCTCTTTGCACCAAGAGAATATTAAAGATATAAAATGCTAAAAAATAAAGGGAAAAATCTGAAAACCTGAAATTCATATTAAGAAAAAAAGAAAGCAAAAACCAAAGATTTGTTCAGAAATGATTCACCCCTGAGAACTGAGGACTCATTCCTAACACACAGTTCTAAGCTTAAAATCATTACTTTATTCTGAAAGAATGACAATAGGGGCTAGAGAGCTATTATGGAGCACTTTTTCTACTTGCACTTCTTTTTGCATTTGAAAAGGGAAAGTGAAAAGGTTTAAACCAGCCTTGAAAGCTGGTGAAGCTGCTTTGCTGAGGAACTACACCCTTTGGGCCAACCAAATCCCAACCAAAGCATTCATCTCCCAAATAGAAAGAATTAGCACAGGTACCAGGCATGCAGAAACTTCTACATACATTTCACTATATTAGGAATTTAAAAAAAAGTTAAAAAGTTCACTTTTTATGTTTTGTGAAAGATGTTCACGTACAGTGAATGGAACAAATTATTTACCATGAGCATTATCACATCTGTGGTGCAGTGGGCCAGTGCAAAGCTACAATTCAATCAAGTGCTCCAGCTTGCCTTACTCATCCCTGTCTTCATCCTTCCTTTCCTTCCACATGCCTCTGTCTTCAGGTTTTTGGAGAAACTGCATCCTTTAGCAAAGCTAAAGACTTCTTCCTCCATTAGGTTTCTTGCTACTGAGAAACATCTACCATAGCAGCAAACTCTAATGAATCGGTGTCTTCAGCTACCTTGAAAGGCAAAGGGCACCTACAACCTTCATTTTATCTCATTTATTCTTCTTATTCTGTCACTCTGTAAGAATGGCATTTACCACATTTTTCTAATGTGATAAAAAAGTTGCTGTGGGATACTGACACAACCAAAAATCTATGAGTAATCAGAAATATTTCCCAGGAAGAAAAGCTGAATCAGTGACATTTGCAGACACCAAACGATGTAAAACCTCATGTCTGCTGTATGCTAGTTTCCTATTAATCCTTCTCTCTATTCCAAGACAAAAAGGGCATTAAACTGGGATTATATTTGAAAGCAAGTATCAGCAGTTTAGAGTTATAAACACTGCCAGGCAATTGTTAATCCAAAACTAAGCATTACAAACCCAGGAAATCCAGTTTAGATTACACTTCAGAGTACACCAAAGCAATCCTGACCATTCCCCGGTTAAGTATTAACTTTGGGACTACAAGTAAAGCCATCTCTCAAAGACCAGCATACAACCTGGGCCAGCCATCATTACTGAGACAGTGAAGGACACTGTCTGAAACAGTTTATCAGTTTAAAGAGGAGCTTAGGAAAGAAAGCACAAGATGTTGCAGATAGCAGAGGCCCATCTGACTTCATTCATGATAATAGGAAGTGCAGTGGCTTGAAAAAGTTGCAGGTGGAAGAGGGTAGAAATAAAGGACCGTGACTTTTGACAGAGCAAGGTTGGCATGGCAGTAAAAACCCTGCAGGTTTGTTTCCCTCATGCAGAGTAAAATACCTTGGTATTAATAATAAAGATGTTCCATAGACCATTTTGTGTGATCAGGGAGAAGATAAAAGAAAGCCTGAGCTTTCACTCTGAGCTCAACTCTTGCTGCTGTTCCTGCCTGTGGGTGACAGAGACCTGGTGGGACCTTGGGCAGGACCCCTCTGTTTGCTCCCATTTGAGGTGCCCTATGGTATCTCCCCCAGCTTCCAATGCTGAATCGGACAGGGATGGGATGTTCCTGGCCCATCTCACTCCTACCCATCTCTCACTGCAGAAATCATACAAAAGGAGCCAGATCACACTTAATTCAAACCCACAGCCTATCACACCTTATGCCTTATAATTCCTCAGCAAAAACACATTTAGGCTATCAGGAGTGGGAAGAGATAAAGCAATGGGCTGGACACATTTGCATTTGTAACCCAACCCACTCCATGCTATAATGGCAAGACAGAACTTAACATCACACTCAGTAGCAATAGCAAGACCATTAATGCCCTTCTCCTTTGCAACACAAAATACAGAGGCTAGAAAAATATATTCCCTAGTTTTGGAAAAACAGGGCAGAGATCAAGCAGTATCACTGAGTCTTATCTCAGATTTCATTTCTGGACATAATCACATCATTAAAATAATTTTTATAGTCCATGCTATTATGGGTTATTGCTCCCTCAAATTAGCCTGTGTCACTTGCCTTGGGATGCCCACATACATCTGTCACAAAACATCTTTGGAAAAAATCCCAAATCTCTCTCCCACTTTTTGCCAATCAAAAATCCAATCCTTTATCTTTGTTATTGTCACTTACCTCCTATTCATACCCTCAGAGGGAACAAATTTCAACATCTCTTACTAAGCTTTTAAAGGAGAAAGAAAGAATAAAAAGAAAAAGAAGAAAAGAAAAATGCCTTGAAAAGAAGAGTAGTGGCAATGCCAGCAGCTCTCCTTGGCAGGTGCTGGCTGTGAAGAGCTGCTTTGGAAGATCTTGGCAACAGCACCCTGGACTCAAGGTGAGCAAGTGCCAGCAAAGGCTTGTGGTAGGAGACAACAGAAGCCTGAGGGAGCACCTTGGCACAGGCACAGTGAACTGACAAGCAGTGGGGCACAGTGCGTACCTGCAGCAGAAAGGGGAGAGAATTTAAGGTCTTATGCAGAGCATTGCTACATCTATGGGGGAAAATCCAACCTTCTACTGCCACAGAGGGAAAACCCCAGGAAAAGGTATATACAGTGACAGCTTTTTAGGTAAATAATGATGACATGAGAGAGTTTTTTTTTTTTTTTTGGTCTTTTGTTTTGTTTTTGCTTTCTTGCTCCACTGACACCAGAACACAGCAAGAACATATTAAATCAAACACTGCCATCAGGAAGGGCTTGCAGGTTTGACTCCAACCATGCCAACCACTTCTTTTACCACATCTTTTTAAGTGACAAAGCAATGACAAGTGACAAAGCACTGCCACGCTTTGTGGTGTCACACATCCCTGAGCACAGGTTGCAGCCCCAGTCCTATCCTCTTCCACCTCCTGCTGCCATGGTGTGAGGACATTACAATGCTTCCCTGCCCTTAAGGCTGGTTTGGTTTGTTTTAGAAACAAAACAAAATAAAATAAAAAGCCCCAACCACTCTTAAATACTTCCCTAAATATACCACCACATTCAGGATTTCAGCTCGATGAGATATCCTGGCGTCTTGTTTTTGCAATGACTCCTCACAGGAGCCCAGGGAACCATGAGGGCAGGTCCAGCCGCTGGCAGGCTGTGCCTCAATGCAGTGGCAGAAGGGTTTATTTTAAACGTGGATCCAGCAAAGAATTTAACTTTTTTCTCCTCAAAACAATTTGCCAAATTCAAACCGGTTTTGGTCAGAAAAGCAGTGTTACTTTTAAACGCTCCCTGTGCCCAGGGAGGACTTTGCACAGAAACACTCACATCTCCAGAGACAAACAGCTGCCCTCGGGGCCTCATCTCTGTGAGGGAACAACGTGGCATTGGACATTAAAATATTAGTTTAAGCTTCCATGACTTACTGTGTGTTTGGGTGAGTGCCAGGACATGGACACAAGTGAGTGTAAACCCCCATGAGGGGAGGATGGAGGTGTGGGCATGCAGGTCCCAGTGGCTGCTCCAGTCTCCTCTCAGCGCTGTCGACATCAGTCACCACCCAGCACCTTCCATCTGGGTGAGTGGCAGCAGCACATCCAGGAAACCCGCTGAGTGAGGGCATCATTCGATGAGCTAATAATATGCTCATTCCAGCAAGAACCACACACACCATGGAACACGTGCTGGGCAGCCCTTGGCCCTGCTTGCTGCCTGGCACGGGAGCCATGATGGGGGCAGTCACCAAGCCCTCAGAAGCAGGCAGCAGACACTGAGAACCTTCTCCTTGCTTGGAAAATCACTCTTTTTAGCCAAGCCTACTCTAGGCTACTCCACTACAGCTGCACGGGGCTAAGATTATGCTGCCCACAGGTGTCACAGCAAATGAACCGAACACACCGAGAGCTGCAAATATTAGATGGCATGAATCGATTTTATAGCTCCTGCAAACAGCCCCACATGGCGCTGCCCTTCCAGCAAAAACAGTGGAGCACTTGCTACTAATGAAAAATCTGCGGAAAGAAGGGAAGACCCTTGAAGATGGGAAGACCCACCAAGTCCCTATATGGGTGAGCACAACATGCTGCTCTTGCAGAGACAGCGCTTCAGGAACAGCTACACCACATGAACTCATGATGTCAAGGAGACTGATACCAAATATTTACCTTTTATTGCAATTAAACGACTTCACCAAAAGCACTGAATGAAAGCAAAGTGCATTTCCTTTGCAAACCTCATTAGAGAATTGCCATGCCTTCCTCTCCCAACTTAACATTTCAAGCAGCCATTTGATAGTTGGTACCTGCTGTTATAAAGGCAACTTGGTTTGAGTTTCATCATTGTTTTCTCACAGATTTCATGGGCTAACACTGAAATACTTGGTCAAGGAGAAAGAGCAAGCTTTTCTATCCATGACATTTTAACTGAAATGTTTTTTTAAAGCTGATATAAAGCTCAGAAAGAGCTGGTCCAAAAGGCTTATTGCAAACCTGCTTTGTGCTTCAGAGGGGCTCAAGCTACATTGCAACTGTCTGTACTTCTGTAGCATTCATTTTCCTTGGAGAGGTGAATGAGTGTCAGTTTTAAATGCCTCCTTTCCAAACACAGCAAAATGCTTCTCAAAGCACTTTGATCAGGCAATTCTTTTTCCCCAGCCTGCTGTTGCCACGAGAGGAGCCCCTCCTGGCAGTGCCGGGGACCTGGATGTCTTCAACTGAATGGAAATTAAAATAGGGCAGGAGACAGAATGTGCTTAATTGGCCCACATTTCCTTCCCAGGTCCTAGGATCAAGCAGAGGCGAGACTGACAGTTGTGACCCTCTGAACAGGCAGCTGTCCCCAAAATACAACAAAGTGCTTGATAAAGACCTACTTAAGTCTTTAAGTCTCTGTGGTTGGCAGGTGAGGGAGGCAGCACACAGCCAGCCAAGGTGCCAGGGCTTTGGATGGGGCTCACTGCTCATTCCCAACAGTCACCACTCAGCATGACAGAGGCAAATGCAACAGTCTGCCCCAAAACGGCTGCCATTCACCACTTGCCCTGCCCCAGACCATGACCTGGGGAACAGTTTCACAACCACGTTGCCCACAGGGGGAAACACAACACCTTTAAACATTTACTGCCAGCGATGGAGTGGCAAATCACCTGTTTGCTGTTCCCAGCCACATTCATTACCTGCTCCATGTCTGCCACATTCACATCACGGGGACCTGTGCACAAACAGGTGCTGAGTGCGGTGCCGTGGGATTTTTCCAGCATTGCTCAATAGCTGGGTGTGCTGTTAGTTTTTCAGGAGGAGGCTGTGTTACCATCTCTTATCCCATAGGCAGCCTCGGAGGCATTCTACTGCAACCCCTTGTGGTATGTGCCCTATGGCAAGCTGCCCGCATACCATGCCAGATCCAGAGGGGCATCTGGAATATACACTCAAAGCTCCTTAGAATGCAAGGAGCCTTCAGTAGAACTGGGGAAGGACAAGGATGGGGAGTGCTTTCTGAAGTTTGGAGCCAGCATCCAGTCCAACACACTGAGCCCCCCCCGCCCCAGTCCCTTTCCCCACAGCTGGTCTGACAGTCCTATCTCACTCTGAGGTCTTGCTTAAGTCATTACAAAACCAAAAGCAATCAGCTGCACAACCTGTGACAGGAGCAAACTGGCAGCATGGGTCTGCCAACTCACACAACCTCCCCTGCCTCCCTCCCTAGGAGCTGGGGCTGCAGGTGCCCATGCAAAGCCAGTCACAACTCATTGCAAAGCCAGCCTGTACCTGTGGGTGTCTGTGCATGGTTTATTCCATCCTGGGCTTTTCTGGGGGAAGTTTTTGTAGTGACCTCCAGTGTTTATTCTTAGCTTGTATAACAACACCACAACAATCTACTAGTCTGTTTCCAAATATTTGACCTACAAAGTGATCAGTTCATTTGGAGACCAAACTGGACTCTGCCAAGTCATAAAATGCTGCCTCAAGCTGCTACTTTCAGCACTTAAAACCCCAAACCAAAGCTGTGTCAGGTCCAAGCCTGTCCCTAAAGGGTAACATTGGTCTGTACTTTCCAGTACACCCCCATAGAGACTATTAACACGGTGATGCTGGTTTAATAACACTGAGATGTAAATCTTTTATTTCTCAAATCCAGCTTGCCAAATTTCTTGATGTGCATTGCTAAGTGAGTGCCCACTAGCCCACAGGCACTTCCCAGACCTCCTCATTTCCATCAGACCCAGCCACACTGCAGGAGAAGACACCTAAGGCTCAGGAGCAGGCTGCAGCCCCCAAAACCTCTGCAAAAGGTATTGATCTGTAAACACAGAGGCATTTTCAGATGGCAGCTCTGTGTACCCACAGAACAAGTCAGCTTATAGCCGCTTCTTTGAGTTTTACGTGCACCAACTTTTGGAAAAGGGAGAATGACTCATGAGGACTGACTGCCGTTCTAGCAGTGGCAATCACATAATCACCATCTGAAAAGGGGGAGAAATGAATTGAGGCCTAATACAAAGCCTTCCCTGTTACTTTACTGAGAACAAGTTACTCCATGAATAACAATTGGGGGAACAGAGTGACATCCTAGTGAAATCTCATGAAAAGAAGATAAATTTTAATTTCAGAGGTTTTCTTCAACAGTAAGTTCTCTTCTTTTTTGAAACTGCTTTCCCCAGTCAAACCAGGAGACTATTCAATCATTGCATAACCTGATTTTAATTCAATTCAAATATGGATCTAAAAGTTCAAGTATGAAATTACATACTTGGCCTTTTCACATTAATTAATCCAAATGAATAGAGTAACATACTGGCTTTCACTGGAGAACATCTTTGTGCTACCAAGAGCAGTTAATTAGAGCTGGCACAAACATCTTCCATATTCGCCATGAATAATAATACTCCCAGAGCAAATTTTTTCAGTAAACTTGAGGAAACAGCTTATTCTTGATTGTTCAACCCACCCATTTCTTCTAAGATTTTAATAAGAGAGAAGGAGTTGAAGTGCTGGTAGTTGTCAGGCAGCCCCTGCACCATGTGCTCTCCCTGCCTGATGCACCCAGCTCCTGCCAGGCCTCTAATGTGACCTGCCTACACAAGAGGTGCCCAAGCCTATAGAATCAGTCCCAGTGGCAAGGTTGCCTTACATGTTGTATCACTTCTGCAGCATCCTCCTGCTGCCTCCAGCAGGCCAGTAGTGACAGCCCCGTGACAGATGGCTCAGGGCAGGGGCCAAGGCTCTGGGATGCACCTCCCTGCTCTGCTTTGGATCTTCCCCTGCGACGGGGAAAGCTCTGCCCCATGAGACCCCCCTGTGAGGACCCTGTGGAAAAGAGACTACATGAAAGGAGACTATGGGCATAGGAAAGGTCACTTAGTGATCAGCTGAAGCTGCTGTGGAGGAGGCTCCAACCTATATCAAGAGATTTTCCTCAGAAACATCAGAGACCAAAAGCAGTAGCCACAAGCCAGCAGACAGGGACACGATTTCTGCTCAGCACTTACCTCCTCACCTGCAGACACAGCAAGTCAGAGCCAGTTGTGTTCCAGAGGAAGCAGATCTACTCTCAGGCAGAGACGCACAAATGTCCAACATACAGGGGGTCGTGTACACAGCAGACAGGAAAAGCAACAGCCAGTGTCACCCTGTCCTAAAGTCAGTCTCATTTTAAAAAATGTGAGTCATTTAAAATATGTGGCAAACAAGGGTGTCCACACTGTCTAACTCAGGAGACTCGGGTATGCAGGAACTCCTAAACTGAGCAATCAAAGGCATTCTCTAGAGATGCCATTACTCTCTAGGAATCAAAGGCTCCTAAATTAAGTATGACAAGGTGCATGGTCCAAACATTGCTTCAAGCTCCAGTCCCATTTTCAGTCTCATTAGGCCCTGCTGGCAAGTAAGACTGCACGCTGTTTTGTAGACATTTTGGTCAACATAAATGTTTAACACAAAACGAACAGCGTTTCATTCATTCCCATGTCACTTGACCATTTTAATTCATCATTTTTAGATAAAAATCGTTTCAAAACAAGAAATAATAACCTAATTACTAAAATATTACAACAAATGCTTCAGCTTAACACCAGGAAGTTTAGCTGCTTCCACCCACCTTTTTACACTATGATTATTAGCGGAAAGTATTCAGTAAAGCTCAACTCATATGTGTTAGAGACTGTCCCCTCAAACTGCTTTCTGTTCATTTAACCCAGAAAATGTTCCCTGCAGCACCTCAATGGTTCTACTGGGACATGAATGCCCCCACCAGGAATTGTACTTGCCAAAAAAGCAAGAAACAGGCCATTTACCTGAGACCTGGGACACTAACCTTAGAAGCTTTTTTTGTTGATTACACAGCTGCCCAAACATGCCTCTTCTTCTCTGGGAAGCCATGACATCATCCACAATACTTACACTTATAATGTCCCGGGTGGAACTCTGAACCATGGCAGCAAAATGCTTGGGAACAAATTGTACTTCCTAAGGCACATACATAAGTATGTATAGGAGAGAGAACAGGCTTTCATTAGTTTGGCATCAGCATAATATACCAGATAGCTGTTTACGTTGGGCTGTAGTCATTTCCCAGTAAGGTCATCTCAAAGTTGCTGCCTGCCCAGAAGCACGTGCAACACATCAACAAGATGCAGCCATTCTCCCACCAAAAATGGGCTCCCCATCATGCTGGTGGAAAACCAGGTCCTTCAGGTGCCTTTCTGGAGCACCTATGTGGTCCACTGCGGCCAGAACGTTCCTCATGCCAAGGCTGCAGAGATCCCAGTGGGCTGCACTTCATGGGATGGGACTGGACTATAAATGTAGCTGTAGAAGACTTGTAACAAATAAAGAGTTCATTTATGTTTTAGAGGAAATATGGAGGTTCCTCCCCTCAACTGCTAAGCTCATAGGTCTCCAGCACATTTTTTTTAAGTCCAGAGCTTGGAAGCAGATGCTCTTACAGCTAGACCAAAACTTTGACTTATTGAGCACTGCCTGGCAGAGCTAAACAACAGCCTCTGAGCCAAGCTGCAATATGCAAGTATTAGAAAGTAAATTATATCAGGTGCCAGCCACTATCACAGTGACCCATATCTTAGGGTTTCAACTGCATCTCTGTCACGCAGTCCTCCTAAAGCAGGTTTTATTGCCAAGCTTTTTAATGTGCCACTGTTCAATCAAATAAAGCAGCCTTCTGTCAGAGTGTGAGTAAGATCAGGAAGTAGAACTGATTTAAATAAGTCTCCTAAGAGCAAGGGGCAATGAAAACAACCTCAGGAAATGAAAAACTGAAGCAAGAGGGAAATGTTGAAAAAAAGTTTCACAATACAAGCCGGTTTTCTTTTGTAGTGGACAAGTCTCCAGGTGACTGACTTGCTGTTAACTAGATTTACTGAAATGTACCAGTCACTTTCTTAGTATCAGCATTTCAGCCTTCAAAAGGCATGTCTGAAGGGGTCAGGTTCTCTTCAGGGTGGTGCAGAGTTGCTTCCTCAGCCCAGAGCTGAGGGTAAGAGAGGGCTGCCAGGCAGAGCTGACTGGGCCACCAGGGAGAAGAGGCTTTGGCAAACACAGTTACTTGTAAGATGCAGCTCCCTTCAGCAGAACCCCCAGGATGGAAAGAGCACCCAGATACTGAAGAACTAAATGCAAAATGCAGCAAAAATG